TACTCAGATCAAGAACGTTCGTCCAGTGTGTTGTACATACCTTAGAATTTGTAATGAAAGCAGTGAAGATTCTTTTAATAATAATTTTAATATAAAACTTAATATGAGTGATCTGGGGCGGTAAAAGCCTGTAATAGGCTATAGAATCCGTGATGATGATGATGAATATGAGTCATTTGCACGGCTTACTACTTTGTGATATGAAGATCTCCCGTCATGTACATACTCAGATGGAAAATAAATTCATTTAATAAATTATTTAAACACCACATGAAATATAGATCTCAGTTCCATCTAATCTTTTATTTTAGACATGTTTTTAAAATGAATTTGTTTTACACAAATCAATGCCTGCAGTTTGACTTTTCAAAAATATGTTTATATCTGCAACAGTAGATTCATATCTACGATAAATAAACACCAATTTCAGTGAGGTAAATACATTTACGAAGACTTCATCTTTAAAATACAAGGTAGATAAATTTTCCGTTGTTTCATTCATAATATTTATGCTCCCTTTGTGATAAGAATTTAGAAATTTTAATTTTAAGCTTTATATTTCTTTAAAACATCTGTCAGAATTTTACGTACGACTTATCGCAGAATCCTACATTCAGAATAACATGATTAAATGATTCACGGAAGACATGTGTCGTTCTATCAATGAAAGGTATAAGGGAACTAAAATACAATAACTTACGACCGGTTTAGATGTCTAAAGTGGATCCAACTGACCACGAAACAATTTCTCTTTCTTCACGGTTGCACGATCATGAAGGCAGTGGAACAAATTGAAATTAGTGAAAAAGTGACTCAAACTCAAGAAAGAACAATTTTGAATGACGCAAGTTCATTATTTGTTACGTTATCCTATCAATCATAAATATTATGCCGGTATTGACAAAAAAAGATTTTGAATCATCGTGGACGCAGTAAGGGAAAACATAAGAAACAGAGGTCGATTAGAGTGGTCGAATGGTGGGTTCAAATTCCTCTTGAGGCATGGACGCAACCGCGACATTTTCTGTGTTCTTCTGTGCTCATCAGACGCCTTGAAATGTTGTGATCTTTCGTCCAATAAGAGGCCTATGGGACCTGAAGTAGGCAGAAATATGAATTTAAATGTAGCACTTGTATGTTCAGAATAGAAGATGGAAGTATCAGGTTCCTCCGAAACGCTTGTAACAACCTCATAAGAATGAAATCCAAAATCGTACAATATGACTAAGATCGTGAAGTTGCGTCATATTGTGATATAATAAATATATATTGTTTTTCGATAAAGAACATCATTTAATATTTTAAACATTTTAAATGTTAATTATTGTAATATTTTAATATTTAATAAGAAAAAAACATGCTCATATAATTTTGGAGAAACGGCGTGGGTTTTGAAATAGATCATGTTGTAAGAAGCGAATATATAATAAAACCGAAATATCGCCTTATAAGCGATGAACTACCTCCTGTTCAAACACCAAAAGAATTGACAAAGTGGTAACGTGTCAGTCTTGAACGGCAATCCAGTCAATTTTCGGCTGGGGTTAGCAACTTTTATGACTGAAATATTCGTAGTTTTCCTCATTCACGCCATTCGAATACTTTAGTAGGTTCGAAGACCCGTTTACCCCACACTTACCAATCGAATGCTGTTCTATAGCAGCGAAGCTTTATATTTTACCAAACCAATTTATTATTCTCAGTGATCCCATATGTTGTATGTTGCACATCTTATGTCGTTTCATAACTGCTTAAAAAGGATCTTGAATCAACATAAACGTACTTCTTCAGTTCGAGAATATCTCATTAACAAATTCAGTACAAGACGGATTGGACGATGATCTGATATGGTAACCTCGTAGCCCAGACTTGACAACACGCGATAGTTTACTCTGAGATCTAAAAACAGCTGTCAGCGATGACATTTAGTTTTTAACGTCGAAGAAAATATCTTAAAGAACATGGAAATGGTTCAAACCGTATGCGTTGAATGGAGGGTAACATACAAATATGCTAGAATGATATGGTTAAGGGACTTTGTAACCATCCTGTACAGTAAACCACAAATCAAGATGTACTTAAGCTCTTTTCCCTGTCTTGAGTGATGAATCCGAGTTGTGGGTGACTGTTCTCGTGGTGTTTCAAAGAATGTGGCTGTCATTTCAGACGCATTAAAGATGAAAATAGCCAGATTCTTCAAAATTTGGTATCATCATCCACAAACGTAAATCACCGTTAAACACAATGACCTCTGAAACCACTAGTTTACCTTCAGAATGCAATGTCATGAGGTTTGTACCGCCAACTGCCCACTCGGTCCGTGTACCGTGCTCGACCAGATGACCTTAAGTCAACACAAAAACTTTACGGTACACTTCACAAAGTAATAATACTACGACTGACATACACGGTCATTTAGAGTACAAGAGACTAGACATATATCATCAAACGAGGTAAATGCGTAAGCTTTGTTCACTTGGGTATAATAAAGTTCAGACTTAGGCTTCAAACGTCTAATTCTTGTAGCACGACATAACAGGAAACCTTTATACCAATCATATTTCAGAATCATATTACATTCATGAATACTATATAAAACATAATGATTAAAGAGATGATAAAGTTGCGTCATATTGTGATAAATATATATTTGTTTAAATCTTGTCAGTCTAATCACAATAAAATTTCTATTAAATATTAAAATATTATTATAATTAACATTTAATATATTTTAAATATTTAAATGTTAATTATAGTAATATTTTAATATTTAATAGGAATTTTATTGTGATTAGACTGACAAGATTTAAACAAATAAAATGATTAAAATCTTATCTATAATCTTATGCGATATATATGTATATATGGATATGCAACTTGGTCTTTCATCCCAAGGGTATAATATAAATTGAGTGCGTCTGAGGAGAATGTTTGTTCCTAAATGTGAGGATACAAGAGACGGGTTCATTATGTGTACTGCTTTATAACATCGGGATGATTAATAAAAGAGAGAAAAATGGTTGGGACAATTAACACTCATGAAGAGATGGGAAATTGGAGCAAAATTCAAGTAGGATTTGAGGAATTCACGGCGGTGATTCCAATGCTGGCTGTCTTCTGAGTTCTTGTGCCGTGTAGTCTGGTAGAAGCTTATCGACGTTTCAGAGGTCCTTGATGCCTCCATCATGAGAACGATGACTCATCGCCCTTATGATGGAGACGTAGTAACCCACAAACCCACAAGACAGTCATCATCATTTAAAATTTGAATACGGAAACCTGGATGGTAGCTACCACTTAGAGAATCTCGTGGAAAGGAGAAAATATTATAAAAGTATAGAAGTGTTATGACAGAGTGGAAAAGTTTCGAATGCCTCAGAGTAAGAAGCAGTGACGAGCTCTTCTAAACAAACAATTAGATTTTATCTTTTCACGAGACAAGGGGTTGATTTCTGGACCATATGATAACTATCAGCCGTTTAATGACTCTGATCCATTGATTTAGTTACTTGATATCCAGTTCTGTGCTTGACAGTATATAACGCAGATAGAGGCAAAGTTCAAGAACTATTAGGTAAGTTAACTTTAACTCATAAAACAATGAACATATTCAAATTATACTCAGGCATTGAGTCTGTTCGGAGTTCCACTCTCCTATGCAACAACTAATGACGGCTGTCTCCTGAAGTAAGGACGGCCGGAGCATAAATCTAAGTACACCTCTAGTAGTTATAACGAGATCGATACTGAGACTATCAGAGATAAACGCGAAATTGATGGAAGAAACTGTAATGACGTGTTAGCTGGGCGGATCTGTAACCCGTCTCATGTGCGTGGATTACTTGTTAAATGACTATTGACAGGTTGAAGCCAAAGTAATCTATCTACCGCAAATCATACGTTGATTAAATTCGAGCCAACGGTGAGAGAAGACAGCTTCTCAAGGCCTGAAGTATATTATAAATAGTCACATTTATTTTTTAAAGTTTACACACCACATTTTAGAGGAAACGGATGTAAAATTCAACACATATTTAGAATCGGCTTTGGATGAAGTTGTTTATTTAGCTTCCGGCCGCTTTGCACAGAGTTAATCATTGGAAAAATAGATTATGTGGGCTTCAAGGATAATCTGGATGTTGTGACGGAAAATAAAACGTCGCTCCAGGGAGTCATATCTCGGTAGTCCAGACTGTCGCTTGGCAAATTTCGTGTCTAAATTTTCCTGGCCCATCATTACTTTACGTGAAGTACAATTTACCTACAGAATGCAATAACGGTGTATGTTTCATACATAAATTTTCTCCAAATTAGTCTGTAACAGGTTTGTACGAAATTTGGGTGTGTCAGGTACAGATATCAAACACCTGTTACAAACTTGTTTTCACCTAGCAAACCGTTAAGATAGATGTTACGATTTTCCATAACAATAAATGTGCGTACGTGTCAGAAGCCTATGTGACTGCTGTAGAGGCCATAAGTTTACCTGGCCATTTAATACTTTTTTCATCGTTTTATGTCGTCTACTTTATTTTGGGCGGACTTGCGATCGGAATGACAGGACCTATAAAAAAGTAGTGCAGGTTTAAACACGTTTTTCATTGCAAATAAACAAGTCGCGATCTCACAAGACTGCATACATACGTATTAAATTAATAACTGTAATATAATTTACCACGTAACTCTCATTTGTGTTAAGTGAAATATATCAGCGAGTTGTTTCTAAAAGCAAAATAAAAAAAAAAACGTTATTATTAAGACGTTTTCTATTCTATCTTACTTCTTTTCTAATAACTCTTGTAATGCTCCACTTACTATATCCCCTGTCCGATTCAAGTCTTGCAAGACGTTATTATATAGCGTCATCACTTGGAAAAAAGAATAAAAAAAGAAAGAAATGGCTTACACCGCTTTCGGAAGTAAACAAGTGAATGAAAAGATGGTGGGAGACTTTTCATATATAGATGAGGATTCTTGTATCACAAGAAGTCAGTCATTCGTAAGCTTTGCTGTGGGGAGGTACTCAGCCAACATGGTACGTTATTTCTTTGCATGTTCCGTGATTCTTGTCATTGCAACAAGTGTTCTTGGACGAAATGTAGACATTCTTCAAGACAATACTCTTTTGGAGGAAGAACCTAAGAGTTTAATGGAAAACGAAGACGTACCTACTTCATTTCTGGGAACGGATTTAAGATTCCTATTTAGGATCTACAACGATTGTTCTCAAAGGGACATGAGTTCGTGTTTGAAGATGAAACTGGTGACAGCTTTGGAACGTGCATCCAAAAGTCAATCAGATTTCAAGGTAATTGAAGGAGTGACTTTCACCCGTGATCCTTCAGCTGTTAGTGATAAAAGTGTTGACGGAAAACCAATAAGTGAAGAGGAATTAGAAGCCAGTCTACCGCGGGGGCTCCAGGATAAGGAAGATCTTCTCGATGGACTCATTATGGAGAAAATCATGGGTTTCTTCAGAAGCCACACACTTCAATTTAAATTACCATCAGCAGAAGAATTCCAGAGAAGCCTGACTGAAGAGGGTAACTAGTTTCCCTTAATTATTATTTTGTATTTTCTTGTTTTCTCGCCTTGAGTTAAAAAAGTTCTCGGGAAGATAAATGTATCAAAGACAGATAAATTTAATGAACTATTTATACAACAAAAAAGTCATGATTATTCACGAGTAATGTTTGGAGTGAAGTATAGGAAGCTATGTTCGCTGTATACGTAGCAAGGATGGTGTAAGAAGATAAAATTTGCAGAAATTTGGTGGAAAAATTAAAAGACGTTGAAGGAAATGGGATGATAACTTTAAGATGGGTCGTTAAAAAAGGTTTCTGGGGACGTAAGGTGAACGAACTACTTCAGAATCGTTTGCAATGGAATCTTTGGTGTTAGCTGTAATAAACCTGAAGGTTATGTTTCTAGGAAGTTCATTGTGGTTAGATTTTAATTTTAATTTTCAAGAATTATAAGTGTGTTTTCTTTCAGTCTGGATTATTAATATTTGATACGGATTTAGGCAAATCTGTAAACTGGAATTTGTGTTTATCGCGTGAGAAGGTAACGGAATGTTAAAATGAGAATAAGATTTCCCATTTACAAAAAAGTTTGTAACTTAATGTTAACTCCGTAGCTAATGCAGAAAATATTACCCTAAACAGAACCAGAGATTTACATTGGAATATGCACAGGCCAGAGAATTCTAGTTTCAAGATGGTTATAACCTATGAGAATATTATTTTAATTTTAATTTGATATCGGATTACTGAGATGGAGATCACTTAAACATGGTAATAAATTTTTGGTTAATTGTAAAACGTCTGTGGAAGTGAATCTAACTGAAGTTTATAGAAGAGCACAGGCCTACTTGTTTCAAGTAACCCCCCCTCTCTGACACAGTATGATGGCGTTGCTAAATTTCTGCATAAGGTAACGGTCAAACTTGTTCCTACAGATGTTTCAACTAAACCGCTAACCTTAAGTAATTCGAACAGATCGCTTTAAAGAAAGAGCACAGAATGCCTGGTATGCGACACGTAACACAAATCCAAATAATCTTTTGCAAGAAAGTGCGTCTGTTTTATAGAGTAATTCTTCACATTTTTCTCTTCTTTTCCTCCCTTGTTATGCCAATGTATTTGTTCTTTCGTTCCTCTACTCATCCTCTTTCATCTTTTTCTTCTAATGAACTTTCCTTCTCCAAATTTTCGCCCATTTTCATCTTCTTTGCACCGTTCTCGTTCATCGCCACTTTTCATTCTACATTTTATCCGTAATATTATTTTGTATTGGTTATTTTTCTTACTCACTTCTTACGTCTTCTTTATCCGCATGCATCTTTGCCCTGTACCAAAAACTTAGATATAATTCACGGAATAACTTCTTCAACTTCATTCTTAGTTTTTCTGTCTCTCCCTACTTGTTTCTTTATGTTAAAAATATGTTTCGATAGTCGTTCGTTTCATATTCCCTTTATTTTGTACAATCGATACTTTTAACACAAATTAAAGAAGCGTATTTCCAATCCTATTAGATTAATAACATATTTTCAAATATGCCAGTATCGCCTCCTAACCTAACCATACAAAATAACAAAACACTTAGGTAATTATAAATAAAGTATTTTGGTCTAACATCAGTAGAAATTCGATTTTGAACAGAGTGCACTTATTTTCTAGAATAATATACGTAATTAGAAATTTAGTAATTCATTAGCCGCGACATCTTCCAAAGGAAACAAACAATCAAATGGCTAAGGCAATACTGAGACCTAGATCTCCTTTTTTATTCCAATCTTGAATGAATTTTCAAATTAAAGATGCAGATAGTTATGAGACTATGACATGACATGGACATTTAATGAATCTATTGATTCTCTCTCTCTCTCCACATATATATATATATATATATTATATATATACTCTATGCGACCTATGTAAAATATAGTGAAATAATATTTTTAAGATGTGTCTTGTTTCGGTAAATGGGTGAATTAGAGCAGCATGTAAAGAAGGGGATTACAGGTGATCGATCGATATACACCGAAATAAAGTTTGCCTTACAACTTACAGTGTGGATATCTAATACAGGATTCACCAAAATCAGTAGTACAATTTCGTAAATGAAATTCCCTAACACAGATACAGGAACTTCGTTCAAAGAAATGTAAAAGAGAAGTTTTATTTCACTGTATTTATGCACTGAAGAGCTACTAAAAGATTAATGTTTTTTTTGTGTTGATGTAATGCACAAAATAGCAGTAAGAATCGGTTGAGCACATAGGATGTAAAAAAAAATTGGAATCATAAAATTTTCAAGAAATAATTCGTTGACATGAAACATCAACTAAAGAATATGCTTTCCTAAAGGTTATCTCCCTCACATTCAAAATAGAATAACGTTTTCGTATGGGGCCTACTTAAAGCAGGGGCGAGCAACTTTTATTTTATGGATGAAAAATCAAGAAGTTGAAAACCATGTCCAGCACGAAAGCCAAATTATTCAGGAATATGATTAGGGCCAATGTTTATGCTTCTAATGTATCTGCTGGATTCCTCATGTCCACCTACGACCGTTAAGGCTGTTTTAACCCGGTAAAAAGTATATTAGAACAAGAAACTCTTTCCTGTAAATAAATTGGCAGAATCGTCAAGCTGATCACTCACCACCATTTACTTTAGAGTTTAAAATGCGTGGAGCCCTAATTACACTTCTTCATACACCCTCATAGCGTAATTCTTAGGCAGATAACAATTCACCTATTTCTTAATCATCCAAATAATTTAATAAAAATCACTGATATTTACAGAATGGGAACCTTGATAATATTTTTATAATTCATATTTTTACTCGACTTGTATAAGGAAATATAAATTGATGTCATCGTCATATCATGCCCACTTCGGTACTAGATTAAATGTTTGTAGAAAATACAGATTACTCATTCGATAGGATGACTATGAAATCGATACAGGTTTGAATATAATCCCTCAAGTGCACAATAGAGAGATTGGTACGTATAGAAGGAATTATAATCTAACGCTCTAATGTCTGTGGTGTGTTATCTCAGGTCGCAGGAAGAAGAAGGGTTCCAGTATGCTGTTACTCCCTCTCTTGATGGCCGGTATGTTCATTCCCATCGCCCTCGGAGGCCTCGCTCTCCTCGCCGGTAAGGCTCTCATTGTCAGCAAGTTGGCCCTGGTACTGGCAGGAATCATTGGACTGAAGAAGCTGCTTTCGGGGTCAGGGGGTGGACACCACGAATCTTCGTACCAAGTGGTGTCCGGTCATGGCAGCAGCCGAACCATCCAGGATCCTCATCTTCTGGCGTACAGAAGCTACGCTCCCTCCTGAGAACGTATCACACCTTGATTCTTCACATCTCCATCAAGAAGTGATACTGTCCAAGCATAGATTTATAAATGTCACCGGTTTCCTTACAACGCTGCTCTTCGTTTCACTTGTCTGATAACATCCAACTTAAAATTTAGTGTTATGAGAAGTTTTCTCACAAGTTGCCAAGAAATTTAATTGTATTACCACAAACATCAAGACTAACACACGGTGGAATATCCGTAAGTAACTCAGGACGTCATATTTTAACAATTTCGGTGTTATGGACGAAACATGTCTTTACATTGAAATATTGATCACTTACGCTCTGAACGCTTTTGATAATATAAATGAAAACAAAATTACTTGTCTTTTTGGAAATCATGAAAAAAAATAAGTCTACAACATTTAATCTAGTTAACACTGCTTTAAAAATATACTACATACTTCTATTCAGATTAAATTATGTCTAAACACAATTTATGTAGCTAATTAACAATGAAGGAATTTTGTTTCAAGTTGTGCATTTCGCATCGAACAAGTAATAAGAATGCATTACCATATTCATAGGTATTAACATTTTGTAAACATTTTAGCTAGAAATTATATATACTTCTAGTTAAGTGAAGCTCCAATACCGATAAAAGTTGACAAGATGATGGCTGGTTAGAATCGAAACAGACTGGTACAGACCAGCAGTACGATAAGAATAGTCAGAAAACCGAAGTCTTTTAAGATAAAACATGTCACAGTGCCACTCCCTCCATAATATGAGGCTTTAGGCATGACATTTATATAAATAAATAAAATTTAATTATATCGTTAAATATATTTTTATTATAATTTATTATAATTTGAAGTAATATGTATTATTAAATATTTAAAGAACATTTTTATATGTACGAATGCCAATTTTTTTAAGGCACAGGATTGTTTTTGTACGTGATATTTATTCCTGATAAATAAAATAATTACTGTTGATCTGTTGATCAGACACATTATTTGTTATTATTAGTGTCCTAATTCCTTATATTCAAAGTTATATGATCGAGGTCAATGCATGTTGAACATTGTAAAACCCTTTCAGTGGTAATACAGAATAAACATATTTCTGGTAATTTTACAGGTGCGAATGGGGAAGTTTCAAAAAGTAAAATGTGAGAAACGATGACCTAAAAGAGAAGAAACAGAGAACTGTAGAAAATACGTGACTTTATAAATGAATTCGTGTTGTTTTACGTAACACCGTATTCCACGCAGCGTCAAGAAGATAGGTAAAGTCTATTTGCAAGGACACGAAAGGGAGCAGTGACCTACGTAGTACAAAATCAGAATTTGCCTGGGGAGTCTGACAAAAACCACAGACACCCTCCAGTCAGTACATTCGATACCCCAAGTAACATTATAACTGGTTACTTGCCTCGTGGCAACCTCATACAGAACCAAGTTGAGGCAAGTCCTTGCCAGTCTGCTTCAGAAAATGACCAACTGACCGGATACAACCGCGTTCTTAGCCTACGCTGGCCTTTCGTTCATTGTCAAGGTGGAAGACATTTTCTGGTCTGCATAGTCTGAATGCTTGAATCATGACTGACTTGCCTAGTTGAGACAGTTCGTAAACAAGGTCAGCGACTTACAACTTTTCCTTTATTATATGTTCTTTAAGATGAGGCCAAGATCCACACACACGGTTGCAGCTCCAGTAAGGAAGAAACACGTGTTCTTTAAGCGAAATGAATGTCTCTCTCTACTTGTTGGCATCCTGCATATTTTATCTGCTAAAATTACGGTCGGATTTAGATTAAATTTACTATTGGCGAGGACTAAAATACTATCATTTATCAAAGTCAAAGAAACTCACATGTAAATTGATTTCTTGAGAAACGACTCATTGAACAAAATATTTATATATGACATCAAGTAGCTTACAGGTCTCATTAGGATCCTTAGCATTGGCTTAAAACATGTTTTTTGTTACGTTTAAAAAAACGCCTGTTGAAATCCAATTAGAAATTGTTTTTATCTGCATTCTTCATGCATCTTCTCACTTCCTTTAATCTCTTTCGTCCTTTAATCTTCTTTCATTCCTCCTGTATTCTTTTCACGTCTCTTTCAACATGTAACAGTCTAGGAACACATCAACCGGTGTTATTATTATTATTATTTAGTGTTCTGTCTGACGACAGGTCCATATGAACAGGATCCTTCCATCCTTTTCTCGGACTGGGACCTGTTCATATACGTTCTTGGCAGATGATCCAGAAGTGGTTTGCCATTGCCTTCTTCTGTGTGTGAATGGAGTAATTGTTGGGATGCCACGGAGGAAAACTCCGTGTTGCCTAGACCACGGCCTTGCCCAACACAAGTTATAAATTCGGGCACCGCCGGGAATCGAACCCGAGACCCCAGGATTACAAGGCCAGAGTTCTAACCGCTAGACCACCGTGGCTGTCAACCGGTGTATACTAAGCAATATCAATGTTTTCGTCAACCACACAAAAAGGACTTCTAAAAGTTATTTAATGACATCACCCATGGATAATATTCCGATATCAAGTTTTATTACTGAGAACGTAGGCTTATTTAGTACTTTTGAAGATAAAACACGTGGACACACAGAGTAACAGTTTCGGTGTTTCGCAATATGAGAATATTTTGTGGAAGATTTCGCAAACGTTTAGTACTAAGGAATGTACGCTACACATTCTGGGATAGATGATATGCTGGTGAGTAGTTTACATGTCAATTACAATATCAAACTTACACCGTTCCAAAACTGGAATTTTGCAACAATTTTTAAAAACTGTTAATCATATGAATGTGTGTACATGACAAATGTAGGATCTCGTTACGATCTGCGACATTTACGTAAAGATTCTTCTATATGGCGCCTGTTTAATGAAATATAGAATAAATTAATTTCTGACTTCATGCAGTGTACAATCTGTATATTTGCATCTTTAGATTTGCAACAAATTAATATCAAGACCAAATTCACATACGAATCTCACAAAAATATTCACTGAATATGTACAGTTTAGGCAGCATTTGTAGTACATCTTTAAACAGTTGTTAAATCGGGCCTACGAGTGGAAAATTACCTTATAATTCAACGACGAATGATTTATTTTGTATCCTAACATTTTACCCAGTTTCACACTTTACTCGATACCCTTATTATATTCGTGTCCTTTAGAAATCCTTACAAAAGATGCCTGATGGTAGCATCACTTGTGAAATAGACCATTCTGTCATCTGGCGTCAATACCGAAAACTTTATCAGCCATGCGTAACACATGCGCTCACACACAAATGGTCATGTAGAGTACACTTATTGAGTAACCACTGATTATATTGCGATATAAAACTGATATTAAACCGGAGTAAAATACCTGTTTAAATTCAAGGGGAACCACGCCTTTCATGTATTCTTTCTTACTCATTTCAACCTTCCATTCTTTACAGACCACAACGTTTGTGTTAATTTATCCTCAGGGAAATTAATACTGTTTTCACCGTACGCCCGGCAAGTTCTGGTGTCCAATAAAACCCCCACTCCCGCCCAAATTGTACCCAGCTTTCTTTCCACACATATATAAATGACCGGAGTTTAAAGCTGTATCTATCTAGAGCCAAAGTTAAAATAAGTTGGAGCTTTAAATCTGTGATTCCTGAACGCTTCCAAAGATGTTGCGTTCAGAATTACGAGTAACTTTACCCAAAAACTGGATACTTATTATAAGCAATGTTGGTAACTGTGTAATCCAGTTTTTTCGCCTCGGGTTGAACATTTGGAAACTAGTTCACACAAAAATTCTTTCCTATGTAATAATTCCTCAATTAAATTCCATCGTCAAATCGAAAGCTCGCGTATAATAGTTTCCGTGCTCCAGTCTCGCCTCCATCATCTCCACGTGCCAGGATCATCAGGGTCGCCCTTGACCAAGAAACACAATTTCCTTTTGTAGACTGTCTAGAAGCGTCTTGCTCGCTGTAACAACGTCTAAGGCAGCGTTTCTCAACCTATGACACTCGTATCACTGGTGGTACGCGAGCTATGTAAGAAAATCTTAAGATAATATTAAAATAAATAAGTTTTCCCTGAACGCATTTGGTTAGTGTTACGTTCAATGTGTTAAATTAGAATTAGTGGTACGCCAGCGAAAAAGGGGTCAGAACCCCTGGTCTAAGGCATTGTAACAGTGTTTATTTATTAATATTAAACATTGTTAGTTTGTATGATAAATATTTAGAATAAATTCAACTCCTAAAACATCGTATAACAAACAAGAATTGAAAAGTTCGTATGTAGCAGATTTAACCAAACCAAAATAGACATATCACACAGCAGCTAGTCATACAAACATTTATTATGATTCTTTAAATATTAAATACTGTATACCGAAGAATATTTTAAATAAGCATATATTTTAATTATATATTAAATCTTGTCCGTCTAATCACAATAAATTCTTATTAAATATTAAAATATTACAATAATTAACATTTAAAATATTAAATGATGTTCTTTATCGAAATATTCGATTTACATTAGACCATCATTTTTCATGTATCACGACATGTTTCAGTTCCTAAAAGAACCATCCTCAGGTGTATATAATATTCATTTAACCTTTATGTTATTTACATTACAGACTGATACAAAAACAACAAAACGTTCACCCACACTAAAGTCACATTGAGCATGATGTATATATACAGAACAACATCGAGTGTGTTATTAAAAATGTAATAAAAATCTGAAAAAGAACATCGTTTGATATCTGGTAAAAATCTGATAAAAATGTAATTTTATATTTGTGTTAGTCAGTGTAAAGTAAGTTTTAATTCTTTTAAAGACTGCTGATGGTACAAAAACTGGTAATAGACATGAAACCTGACATAAAATGTAGTTCTCGTTAAAACATGCAACGTAGCTTTGTGCACAGTACTAAGCTGTCTGTAGTGTTAATTATTTTGGCAACAGATTAATTTCTGAGAGTAAATGATTGTTTATCTGCGGAGATACATATCTTTAAAATTAACAATATTTCTCAAATACACGAGTTCAAAATGGTTCAGCCTTCTCTTGTTTGTTAATTATCTCAACAAATAGCAAGTTTCCCTGTAGCCTATTTAGGCATCATTTCAGTTTCCAGGTATACATTTTCTATGATTCCTTATACAGTATTTTAAACATTACTGTCATTCCCAATTAATTTCACATTTCAGTTTTAGGAAAGATATTCAAACTGGCTGACTGATTGATAACTAACCAACTAACTATCTAACTGCGGAAATGTTTTTCTAAATTCTTAATTAACATACGAAATTACTAATTAACTGACTGAATGACTAATCAACTGGTAACAATATTCACGGTGCAGTGTCTTTATCGAGTTTATGAACGTTGATCTGGTCAAAATCCCTATATTTTTACAGGAATTGAGTGTTCGTGTCCGTGTTCACAACATGTCGCCACTGGAACCTATTCTGAACTACACGAATCCAAGCGACATTTCAATTTCTCACGGAGACGAATATGAAGATGGCTGTCTTCAGGGATGCTGCGCCGCGTCGTCTGGAGGACCTATGCCGCCTCTGTCACCAGGGCAATCACCAGATTACGCGGCACACCCCAGAAAAGAGTCATCTTCGGATTAATCAAATTCATTGCTTCGAATCTGGATTCTTAGGACATATTTTAATATTATCCTCTAATCTGCACCTTGGCTCGCCAAGAGTAGGTTTAATGACAAAAATATCTGCAAATATCACATTTTCCGCTCATCTAATGTCTCTTTTTCCGTTTTATGG